CTGAGCCTACTAATACCTTTTTATAATTAATATATAATTAAGTATCGTTAGTTTGGTCTTTAATATCTTCCGGAAAAAATAATTCCTTATGCTCGAGCCACGAAGTATATTTTGGTTTAGTTTTTGACAATTTTGGGGGTGGCTCTCTGTATGTATCAGGCTTACTTGTGGTAACTGAGGGTTTGATTGTAGTTAGTTTGTTCTCTATATAATTACGATGATATATTAAATATTAATGACATTAAAATAAAAAATAAGAATATACCAGACAAACGATGTTTTGTTACCCAATTTTGTGAAATAGTATGAACAGTATAAAAATAGTATAAAAATTGAAATTTAACATTTTTCCAAATATTTTTTAACGTTACAACAAATTTTAAACCTTAATTACGTATTAAAATATAATTTATGCGTTTAAATATAATAAACATATCTATATGAGCATATTAATTCATGCAATTATTGCAAAGACATTATATAACCATGGGTTTTATTCAAACTCATATTTTTATGTTTGTCGTCTTTTTATATTACTTTTACAATAAATATTTTTAAAATTGCATATGATTGAACACTTTAATCATATTACTCTAATTTAAATTGACATTTGCCCCTTTGCCACAAAACCATTTTTTATGAATTTCCGTTTCTCTAAAAATGATCCCATATCTCGAGGTCTGACTACAATCATAGCTTAGGCCGGACTATAATACTGTACATTGCATTGAATGTTCGCACATTGCCACCACTCGCCTAACTGTCCCTATCGATGACATAATCTGTTTATTTGATGTCTTATGCAAACAAAGGGAAGTCTAGAAAGAAAATATAGATACTTCTAGAAAAGTCTAGAAGTCTGAGGAAAGGGGACTGGTAGGCAATAACCATTAATTATTATATTTTACATAATAGTTTTTTCACACTGCTACAATATTATGTTTAATTAAAAAAAATAATTTACAACAAAAAGACATTTGGCTCGTAAACTAAACTACTGGTCCGTACTTGGCATCCCTAGCCCTAAACCTATCCCGATATTCGGTAATTTTCTACAGTTTTTCACAACCCCTCAACCCATACAAGAGATTAATTGGTTATCAAGATATGGAAAACTTTATGGGTATTTATATTAGGGATAATTTATGCTGATAATGCAATGAATTAGTTTGCGCGGTGCAATATTTTTGATTATATTTGATCTTTACACTAATTTTTATCCAGATACTACCTTTTAAATAACCCCGTATTAACAATAGCCGATCCTGTGCTCATAAAACAGATATTAGTCAAGGATTTCCACGTATTCACGGACTGGCGACTGAAACCCATGAGTGGTCGGCACCCTATTAGTCAAAAATTTCTATCGGACACGAGTGGCGATGACTGGCGGCGTATACGTACAATAGTGTCGCCCACATTCACTACTGGAAAGATACGTAAAACGTACGCTACGATTGCGCACTGTTTGCGTGATTATGCGCAACATTTGGACAACACCTGCGCCGTTAACAATGCGCAGCTCGACGTACTAACCTCTATGGGCACCTACGCTATGGACTTAATAGCCAGGGTGACTCTTGACATAGATATTGATGCATATAATGCTTATAATAGTCAGCGTGTCAGTCCGTTTGTTACCATGGCAAATAAAGTGGTAGAGTCAGGGTTGGTTAAAAATTTGTCCAGGCTAATATTGCCGAAATGGATATTGTGGGGAACGGGCGATCAGAGTGCGCGAGATTTTTTCGTAAACACGGTTCGGGAGGTTATGGCTAAACGGCGCCAAACGGACGATGAAAGGCATGATTTTATGAAACTGCTTATGGATGCGGAACTACCTACTGATAGAGCTGACAGCGCCGACACTACTAATTGTAAATATGATGACCAAGGTACAAATAATCGCACTACTTATTAGAGTATTTTATATAATAATGTTTAATATTAGCATGCTACATTTAATATATGTTAAACTTTCCAGAAGCAGATGAATTGGAACTGGATGTTCACACCAATGTTTCGCCTACCGGTCCCCTTAATAAAAAACTAACCGAAAACGAGGTGCTCGCACAGGCGGTCATGTTTCTGGTGGCCGGGTATCACTCCACGGCGTCTAACCTAACATTTCTGACATACGAATTAGCTCTTAACCCGTCCGCTCAACAGCGCCTATACCTCGAGCTCATGGATGCCACCGATCCGGACACCGGAGACATTCCTTACGATCGGTTGCCACGACTACCCTATTTAGACG